GTAGGAGTGTAGGGGAGTGCTGAGAGAGTGACAGACTGTACACAGCTGTAACTACTGCGCGTAGCAAGCTGTGTGGCATGTAGCGCGGTGTAGGAGTGTAGGGGAGTGCTGAGAGAGTGACAGACTGTACACAGCTGTAACTACTGCGCGTAGCAAGCTGTGTGGCATGTAGCGCGGTGTAGGAGTGTAGGGGAGTGCTGAGAGAGTGACAGACTGTACACAGCTGTAACTACTGCGCGTAGCAAGCTTTGTGAGATGTAGCGCGCTGGAGGAGAATTTTAGTAAAATAATTTACAATAAATTAAGTAAATAAATTCTTTTATTTTATTTTGTTCCTGTTTTACGTATTTAAATTTATTTAGACTGATTGTCCGTAATAATATGACTTATAAAAATAGAAATTTCAGTCGACGCCATTTTTCTTTGTAATTACTATGGCTTTTGAAGGTACTTTATATTGAAAATAGTATTATTTACAATTTTCTCTAATTAGCAGCAGGCTCAGTGGCGGCTCTGAACTCAGAATATTCTATAAAGCCATCATTATTCTTGTCCGTCTGTTTCAAAGCTCCTTCTACCATTTCTTCCAAATCAGAATCTTTGTAAACCATTCCTGTGCCTTGTCCACCTTCTGTAACAGAAATATGAAAAAGAATTTAAGTATAAAGAGAATAAAGCATCTTTTACTGCGGGTGTGACATATCTACACTTGGGAGCAAAGACATGAAGGTTTCTTTTTTAAATTTTATCGAACCCTGTATAACATTAAAAAACAATTTTCCTTTTACAACAAAATGCTCTCATTTTAAACGTAACTAAATTGAACAACATACGTTTAGGGAACAGAGAGTATAATGGGGATGACGACAGGGTATGAAAATTAAAAATCTAATTACTCCGTCAGTTAGGTTATGAAAAACTATTAGACACGTATTTTTTTATTTTGTCGTATAATAAAACAATACTTGGATAAAACGAATCAAAGTTTAGGAGTGGGGGCTAAAACGTCATTTCTTAAAACGAATCAAAGTTTAGGAGTGGGGGCTAAAACGTATAAAATGTACTGAGAAGTGACGTCACGCGACATTTCAAATCAACATAATATCTTCGAAACTATTCGTTTCCGTAAGAAAATAAAAAATACGTGTTTAATGTTTTTAAATAATCTACAAGACGGACATTAAAATAAAAATTAGTCGTCTACCCTATTCCCTAAGATCGGAAAAGGAGGATCCTCCGACCAGGCGAGGTGATCGTGCCTGGCGGGCTTTCTGCCCAACAGTTGTTCGTTGGGATTTTCTATCCGTGTTAATTTTAATGTAAACTTTGCATGTGTTATGTAGGATTTTATGACGTCATCCGTTGACATGTGACATGAGGGCTTCCTCTTGAATCCAATTCCGATCGATCGACATTGGTATTGTGAAATTTCGTACTCTTGATTTGCAACACTAGCGCCCATTGCATCCGTATTGCGTGGATATTGAATGAACTAAATGGTATTGAGTTTGGCTTTATATTCCGTACTCTTAACGCTATTTTAACAGCTACGATAAGGGTTGTATAGTTTTAACATTGAATAATTATTGAGATTTTATTGGTTTGAAATTGCATTGACATTGAGATTGGTTTCAAGAGTAAGCGCCATGGTGTCGCCACATACGTTTTCGACTTACTCACGAAATTGTTTGACGAGGAACTCGACTAGTTTCAAGCCTTGCTAGAGGCTCATATTCATGAGCAGCATTCCGCGACCGCCGCACAGCCAAACAGCGAGTAGCAGCGCGACAGTCGCCGCGTCGCGGGTTCGTTCGTCGAACAGTTACGTGAGTAAGTCGAAAACATAATAATAATTAATACAGTATGTCTCACGAAGGTTATTTAGTTATTTATTTATTTATTGAATGATGAATCAATAGCTACATTACATAGATTTAGCAGAAAAATAGTAGCATTGAGCCACTTACAGATTCACACGAATACTGACTTAATAGGTAACAGCTAAGACAAAATTAAAATTATAAATACATTAAAAACAGGCACACAGCAAGAAAATTATTAAAATAAAGAAAAAAAAAGGTGAATACAATTTAAAATTCCACAACATTTTATTCCCCTTCAGGGAATAATAAAAGGTGTGATGTAAAACAATCCTAACTTACTACCGAAAATTGTGTTAAATATTTTGTTTAAACTATAAATAACTTGTCTCATCATTAACATAATTTTAGAGCTCCTGTCGCTTGTGACACAGGAATATTCCTAGTACAGGCATATTACTTTTTAAGATCTTGTCGCTTAACTAAGATGTTTTTTTTACCTATGTTGGCCATTGTTATTATGAATAAAGATTTATATATATATTTATAAAATAAG